TTTTTATTCCTAACAATCACATCCCAAAGTTTTTTCTGCAATTTCAATTGTACATAGTACTGTTCTTCAATGTTGACTCAAATTAATTTCATTTAAATCCACAGAGACAGAAAACAATGGCATTTCCTGGGGATTAGGGAAGAGGAAAATAGAGAGTAACTACTTAATGGGTAGAGTGTTTCCTTTTGGGGTAATGAACATGTTTTGGAATTTGAGCTGGTGGCTGTAGAACACTGTGAATGTACTAAGTGCCACCTAAACTGTTTACTTTAAAATGGTTAATTTTGTTATGTGATTTAACCTCAATAAAAAAATTATGTTAATCTGTAGACAAAACCGACTCCTTTAGAACTCCCTCCTTCTTCTTCTTCAAAAAAAAAAAAAAACTGCTTCCTTTTTTCAATTGATGGTTATATCTTAGAATTTTTTTCCACAAATTGAATTTGTAAGTTAAATTATTACCATATGTGCACAGTAATAATCAATGAAGGTACACTGCTGTCAGTTTAAAACATTGCTATGCCTGTGGTCTCAGCACTTTGGGAGGCGGAGGTGGGAGGATCACTTGAGCCCAGGAGTTTGAGACTACCCTGGGCAACACAGCAAATGCTATCTCTATAAAATAATTAAAAACAAAGAAAAAATTAGCCAGGTAAGGCAGGAGTATCACTTAAACCCAGGAGGTTGAGGCTGAAGTGAACTAAGATAGTGCCACTGCACTCCAGCCTGGGTGACAGGGCATGAGTGATTGTTATTCATTCATACATACACACATACGGCTTTGCTAAAATGCTTGATAACTGTCAAAAGAATATTGCTCTGACATACATCTGTAAATGGGTAGAGTGATTTTAAATTTGAGGAAAATTCTTTCCCCAAGCCTCAATCAGGAAAACATTATAAACTAATAAGAAGTATCTAAACTAATAAAAAGCAAACAAGAATATTATACAAGAAGCAAACAGGCACTATCCTGACCAAAAATGGATAGAAATAAATATGCTAAAGTTAACTGTCTTGGGGATATAGGGCAACATTACTTCAGATTTGTAAAAGTCACACTTCAAAAATAGAAGGAATCTACCTTAAGAAACTCTGCAGTAGGAAAAACTCGTTTGTATAAACCCCTGACAAAATTAATCTTTTATCATAACTTCTAAAGCTAGCCCAAATCCGGCCTAGATTCCGGGATTAAACAAAAGAAAAAATCTTGGAGAAGGTTCTAGAGAACAGGCTGACTGAAATTTGTGACTGTTTTGATACAGGCCAATCTGAGAATTTAAATCTCTCTGAACCCAATCCTGAAGAATACCTGAACCCTGAGCACAGGGCCAAAGCTAAACCAGGTCAGAATGCCCTGCCAAGGAACATCCTGATCCGAGGTGTTCACCAAACAGGGATCATTTATCAGTTTATTCTTCACCTTGTTGGATGTTGACCACTTTCAAGATATATGCAAGAGTAGGCTGATTAGACCAACCAAACTTAATTTCAAGCCCTAAGATATGGAAATGAAAAATACTGCAGAATTCTAAATTTCCTATGGCTTAAAGAAAAAAATTTATAAATGAAGAACTTCAAGTATTAGCTGACTCAACTTTAACATCATTGAATATATTTAGTTATTATAAAAATTTTATAAAGTATTTCAAAGACACAATTTAGTAATTGCTTACATAACAAACTAGCCATGAAAACAATTATAGCAGTATGATAAATCTGCCCTATGTAAATAGTATGAGTTTTTATATTTTACAGTATTCAGATATGGTAAAAACAAAAATAAGTGTTTATTTTGTGATTCACATGAATACTTTTTTGGTCTTAAAACTAAATATCTGGCAGAATACAAATAATGATAATAGGATGTTAGAGCTAACATAGTTTGCAGGCCAAAAAAGGAATCTGTCAACACAGAAGATGCTTCAAAGTTTAACTGTGACACACGTGTTAGTGGCAAAGAATCTAATTTGTGTCACAAGACCTGGGTCTGAGCAAGCTCTTCTGCCTATTAATTATGTGATCTTTTTGCTGGTTGCATAGCTACTCTTAGCTTCAGATTCTTCATATGAAAAAATGAGGACAATAAAACTAATACTACAGCATAATGAGGAAGATTAAATATTTTTATTCGTTCAACAAATATGTTCTAAGAAACTGTAAATTTTTATTTTGTACAAAATTACTCTTTCCAATCTTTTCAAATAAATCAAGCATATATTAACTTTTAATATTACCAAGAAAATATAAATCTAATTCTCTAATTCTTAAGCTCTGGTCCCAAAACTTCTTAGAAGTAAATTTTTATTACTTGAGAAAATCTGAACTGAAGTCATCAGAGTAAGTATTGATATTGAAGATAGGTCAGTTGAGGAATCACATCTTAAAACTGTTTTGACACAAAATAAATAGAAACAATTCCCTAATTTTTTTTCCTATTAAACAGAAATAGGGACCCAGACTAACTCCATATATTGCTGGGTCAATAACCAATCTCAAATACAAAACCTTACCACTTAAAAACATTTTTCAGGAAAATGATATTAAATATGAGGTAAGGCCGGGCGCGGTGGCTCACGCCTGTAATCCCAGCATTCTGGGAGGCCGAGGCGGGTGGATCACGAGGTCAAGAGATCGAGACCATCCTGGTCAACATGGTGAAACCCTGTCTCTACTAAAAATACAAAAATTAGCTGGGCATGGTGGCGCGTGCCTGTAATCCCAGCTACTCAGGAGGCTGAGGCAGGAGAATTGCCTGAACCCAGGAGGTGGAGGCTGCGGTGAGCCAAGATCGCGCCATTGCACTCCAGCCTGGGTAACGAGAGCGAAACTCCGTCTCAAAAAAAAAAAAAAAAAAAATGAGGTAAATTTGTCCTTGACATAACACAGTGAGATTTTTTTCATAACAGAGCACATGAACCACTTAAAACTTACAACTTATTAAATTACTATTGTTCTAATAGGTTTAGGGCCACACATAAATTTAAATATCATTGTAACACAGACTTTAGTTGGAATCTGTACTGACCTAACAAAATTTAGTGCAGAAGAATAAATTACAGAGTTGAGCACCTAAAAAACGGTGTCCTTTCTGAAATATTTATTTGCAAAAAAGTCACAACATCAGGAACCACAGAAAGTTGTTCTCCATCATTCAAAAGATCAAAACATCTGCAACATTATTTATGCTATGCATAAAATGAAAGTCAATATTGATATTCATTCACTATATCTCAAATCCTAAACAAGATAACTCAACCTCTATGTTTACTCAATTGCTAGTCTATTCAGTATCAATTGTTGAGGAAGAACTAGAAACTAGACTAGTGCTGCTTATTTGACTTCATGTAACCTGAACATGTTTTGAATTATAACAGACTTGGACCTATTCTAATTAGAAATTTACCCTTAAAAGGGGTAAAAGATATTAACTGGCATCTTTTCATCAAAGTCTTCCTTAAGAACACAATCTATAGCCCTTAGGCCTTGCAATTGAATGTTAAACAGTGAAAAGCAATCCCTTGGATGCATCCAAGCAATTTTAATACAAATTTCTGCATACCCGGGTAGAAAGTAGAATATAAATAACTTGAATCTACCTTTTTCCTCACTTATAAAAAAATGTGGGAGAAGCCTCAAAAATTAAGTTTAAGGCAGGGCAAGGTGGCTCAGGCTTGTAATCCCAGCACTTTGGGAGGCCGAGGTGGGCAGATCACTTGGGGTCAGGAGTTCCAGACCAGCCTGGCCAATAGAGTGAAGCCCAGTCTCTATTAAAAATACAAAAATTAGCCAGCTATTCGGGAGGCTGAGGCAGGAGGATCGCTTGAACCCGGGAGGCGGAGGCTGCAATGAGCCGAGACCGTGCCACTGCACTCCAGCCTGGGCAACAGAGAAAGACTCTGTCTCAAAACAAAACAAACAAAAAAACAAAAACAAAATCAAATTTCAAACTCAGAGAAAAGTCTGGTCTTGAACAATTTCAGGACAAATTACTGAAACACGACACAATACACAAGCAGCTCTATGGCTCGAGATAAACCACCTCTGTCTTCTTTAGAAGTGCTTCCTGAGGTCCACTTTATGATGGTTAATGTTGCTTCTTACACTGCATGTTAGTAATTCAAAACGCCTAGCTGAAATAAAAGTTCTCTTTAAACATTACAATTTGTCTCCGAGTTGCCAGTAAGTGGCTTTGTTTCCAGTTTCATGGGCTATTTGGGGATGTCAAGAGTTGTATTATTACTGTTGGAAAAGAGCCCTGGTTTCAATCCACTCTCACCTGGAATGCCGGCATAACTGATGTTTACAGAACTGATGTTTAGAGAGGAATATCCTTTACCACTCCATCCTTTATCGATAACCACGTTTTGTATATTTTTGTTGCATTTAAGTTTTTTGTTTTTCTTTTTTAAAGACACCTGCACACACACAATTTCCCCATCGCCGGGAGGGAGAAGACTGCCAGGCTTGATCTCCAGGGCCTTCGGGGAGACAGACACCGTGAAACCCACTTGGCCAACGAAGGGGAGTGCTTCAGGGGCTGGGGGAGGGAGCAGTGCTAAGGTGCCGGCAGGCAGAGGCGGCGCCTGTTTACAGACGCCTTCGCCCTCCCCACCCCCACAGACGAGGGGTCCAAAAAGCAGCTCCCGTGCGCACTCCCCGCCCGGCCAAGGCCCGTGAGTACCGGAAGAGCCAGGCAGCCCTGTGGCCCCCTCCCTCTCGTCCGAGCCTCCCTCGCCCTCCCCTCGGCCTACCTACCCCGACAGGCCCTCCAGGCGGCACGCAGAGGCCTGAGGCCTAAAGGACGCCGGCCACTGACAAGCCCCTGAGCAGCCGGCGGGGGCCCTGCGGAGCCTGGGGCCGGCCGGGCGGCCGCTGCGGCGGAGGAGCAGAGGGCGGGCGAGGACAACCCCTTCCCGACCACAGCTGCCTATTGTTCCCGACTGAGGCCCCGGCCGCCGCAGCCCCGCTCCCCAAGTCGCCGCCCGCCGCTCGCTCACCGCGCTGGTCCGAGCAGCAGCTCCTCTCAGCTCCGAGTCCCCGCGGCCGTCGCCACCGCCGCGGCAGCCGCCGCCGCCGCCGCTGCCACCGTTGACTCTGACTCTGTCCCAGGCCGCCGGGCCACGGCTGCCGCCGCCACCGCCAGCGCCGCCTCCGGCCTCCCACCTGCTGCTGCTGAGGCTGCTCCTGCAGCAGGGGCCATCTTGTTGGTCTGCCTCCTCTTCCTCCTTCTCGTCCTCCGCCGCCCAGTCGTTCGTTGTCCTCGTCCCCTTCCTCTTCCTCAGGCTCCGGACCGCCCCGGAGACTGGGGCGGAGACGAAAGCGAGGATCCTCCCTTAGGAGGCGGGACGGGCGGAGGGGCGGGACGGGCGCGGGGACGAACCTCTGAGTCACCGGCCACCAACGCCCGGGAGGGGGGCCGGCGACGCTCTCCGCGGCGACCCGGAGTCCTGCGCCCTGAACCGAGGAGCGGGTCCCTCCGTCCGGCCTGCCCTCCCGCACCCGCGCCTGTGGGCTCAGCGGGCCAGTGGCCGGATGGCGAGAGTAAACTGGGGGAATTTCTGTCGTTTCCATCGAATCCCGCACTACTTCTACTCTGGGCTTTCTCAGCCGTTCCCCAACCCTTGTTTCTTTTCCACGTCTTGTCCCACACCCCATTTCTTCTCCCGTGTTATCCAGGTTCTGGATCGCATCAGCTTTGTCCTTGTCACCCCTCTCGGAGTTCAGCCTCCTAAGGCGCTGAAACAGCCCAAAGGCCGGGACACGCCACTCCAAAGCGTTTCTCCTGGGCTGTGTGAACAATAAGAGCTGTCTGGGGACGACAGGAAAAGATTTGACCCATAGAAAAGCTCCTGAAATCTAACCTTGCGACTCTTTAAAAGTTTCTTGTCCCTCGTGGAAAAGGTGCCGTTATGGTTTTGAGGAATGAATTTCAAGACAATTCATTTTAGTCAAACCTTCGCTTTTGAGATGGGGAAGAAATGGAATTATTTTAACACCATACAGTACTAATTTCGAAATAAATCATCTAGAATAGAGGAGAGAGAGAGTCCCCGAATAACCATTTAATACTCTCTACTCGGCGCCATCACCTTTTTTGCTTCAGGACTTGGCCAAGAGAGCAGAGATTGTGTTTTTCTGTCGTTTCTTCACTGTTTACTTCACAGTACCCCAAGAGAAGCACTTCTGCCTTTAACTTGATACTTTGGAATCGCTATCACAGATAGTGTTTTTGTATTATTTGTAAGAAATATCAAACACCTTCCTAAACTCTTGGCAGAGAATTCTTTTAACATCCTCCTGCTACTGAGATCACAGCTTCTTTTTAGAAGACCTATTGATGTCTTTCTATTGATTGGAATTTGCTGCCGTTGAACTGGGTTTAATCTGTAATCGTCTTTTCAGCGTGCTAAATAGTAACCCCAGTCCTACAGAGAGTGAATTTCTAGCTACCACAGGGGGATTTAGGCTAGCATGTGCCAATCCAAAGGCTATCTCTTATAGCCTTTCCCTCCTCAAACCAGGCCTCTGTCCCCTGCTAGGAAAAGCAGATTAATCTGCTCCTCCTGCTTTTCTTCCTCCTCCCTTCTTACTCCTAGGGAACCTTCCACAACAGAAGGTTTTAGCGGCTGTTGCTAGGCAAACATGCCAACTTCCTTGTTTAGGTGAAGCAAGTAACTCAACTTCCATTACAAGCAACCTAGATAATGTAATTTCTGTCAACTATTAATAGCTGTACCTCAATTGGTAAGGCTCCTTAAAGGTTCCCTTGTTCAATATGATTTTTAAGTTGTTTATTTTTATCTCATCAATGTTTCAATTAAAAAAATAAGTTAAAAATGGAGGCACTGCCCCAAATTCATTTTAGTGATATAATTAAACAGAAGCATTTGACAGAAAAAGAAGAGCAGCTTCAAAGAAAACACTTGTATTTACAAAAAAAAAAAAAAAAAAAAAACACTAATCTGTGAGAAGTCATATGTTTTAAATTCCCCAGTCAGACTATACGTATAAGATATAGAGGATGAGGCCTGCACTTTGTAATCCAGCACTTTGAGAGACCCAGGCGGGCAGATTACGAGGTCAGGCGATTGAGACCATCCTGACCAACATGGTGAAGCCTCGTCTCTACAAAAATACAAAACAGCTGGGCATTTGAATATTTCAAATTTGAAAATTTCAAATATAAATAAATAGAATGATATAATAAAAACCTGAGAGCCCATGCCTGTAATCCCAGCACTTCGAGAGGCCAAGGGGAGCAAATCACCTGAGGTTAGGAGTTTGAGAGCAGCCTAGCATGGAGAAACCCTATCTCTACTAAAAATACAAAAAATTAGCCGGCCATGGTAGCATATGCTTGTAGTCCCAGCTACTCAGGAGGCTGTGTGGGAGAACTGCTTGAACTGGGAGGTGGAGGTTGCAATGAGCCAAGATCACATCACTGCACTCCAGCCTGAGGAACAGAGTGAGACTTCATCTCAAAAAAAAAAAAAAAAAAAAAATTAGGCTGGGTGCGGTGGCTCATGCCTGTTAATCCCAGCATTTAGAGAGGCCAAGGCGAGAGGATCACCTGAGGTTGGGAGTTCAAGGTCAGCCTGATCAATATGGAGAAACCCTGTATATGTTAGTCTTTTGTTTCTTAATCAGATAAGAATGACAAGTCATCAAATACATTTTTGCTCTTTGCATGAACCCTAAAAAAAGATTACTGCAACTTTTCAGATCATACAAAAGTCAGTTAAAATAATGCCTTATGTTTTCAATACATATTCTAATATGCCTGTACTATATTTTCTTTCTTTTTTTTTTTTTTCAGATGGAATCTCGCTCTGTCACCCAGGCTGGAGTGCAGTGGGCTCAATATCGGCTCACTAGAACCTCTGCTGCCTGGGTTCAAGCGATTCTTCTGCCTCAGCCTCCTGAGTAGCTGGGACTACAGGCTCGTGTCACCACACCTGGCTAATTTTTTGTATTTTTTTAGTAGAGACAGGGTTTCACCGTGTTAGCCAGATGGTCTTGATCTGACCTCATGATCTGCCTGTCTCGGCCTCCCGGAGTGTTGGGATTACAGGCTTACAGGCATGAGCCACTGAGCTTGGCCTGTATTATATTGTTTGTTTCTCTGATTTTTTTTTTTTTTTTTTTTTTTTTTTTTTAAGACAGAATCTCACTCTGCCTCACCCAGGCTGGAGTGTAATGGCATGATCTAGGCTCACTGCAGCCTCCGCCTCCCAGGTTCAAGTGATTCTCCTGTCTGAGTCTCCTGAGTAGCTGGGACTACGGGCATGTGCCACATAACCCAGCTAATTTTTGTATTTTTAGTAGAAAAGGGTTTTCACCATGTTGGCCAGGCTGGTCTCGAACTTCTGACCTCAGGTGATCCATCTGCCCTGGCCTCCCAAAGTGCTGGGATTATAGGTATGAGCCACAGCGCCAGGCCTTTTCTTTTCTTTTCTTTTCTTTTTTTTTTGACATGGAGTCTGACTCTATCGCCCAGGCTGGAGTGCAGTGGCGCAATCTCAGCTCACTGCAACATCCACCTCCTGGGTTCAAGCGATTCCCCTGCCTCAGCCTCCTGAGTAGCTGGGACTTCAGGCGCATGCCACCACACCTGCCAGGATGGTCTTGATCTCCTGACCTCGTGAACCCCCCACTTTGGCCTCCCAAAGCGCTGGAATTAATGAGCCACTGCACCTAGCCTCCTCTGATATTTTTTAGAATAATAATGCTTTTTAGGTTATGCTGCATGACTTTTTAACCTATTACATGCTTTAAAATTGTTCTAGAATGTGTAAATGTCAGCCTAAAACACTATTTGTCGCATCAAGGCTAGAAAAGACCTTAGATACCCACTTATTTCAACAGTTGAAGCTGAGACTAAGAAAGACTGGATAGATCACTTATCTACCCAACTACTTCTTTATAGATAAACACCATGTAATTGAGGAGGGGTTTAGGGAGCAGAGAGGGCTGGGAAAAGAAAAGATTAATAAGTTATATATCCCTGCCTTAGAGAAATTGAATAACTTAGTAGGAACAATGCAGTAAGATATTCATGTAAACTAGAGTATCAAGTACTTTAGTGATTAGTGCATAGAAAGTACAAAGTCAGGCTGGGTGTGGTGGTTCACACTGGTAATCCCGGCACTTTAAGAGGCCAAGGTGGGTGGATCACCTGAGGATAGGAGTTTGAGACCACCCTGGCCAATATGGTGAAACCACATCTCTACTAAAAATACAAAAAGTAGCCGGGCATGCTGGCTGGAGCCTATAATCCCAGCTACTCAGGAGCTGAGGCAGGAGAATCACTTGAACCCAGGAGGTGGAGGTTGCAGTGAGCTGAGATTGCGCCACTGCACTCCAGCCTAGGCAACAAGAGAAAAATTCCATCTCAACAACAACAATTAAAAAAAAAAAAGAAAAGAAAGTATAAGTCCTATGAGTGTTAAAATCATTCTAATGTCATGGAACCTATCTTCTGACAGATGGCAATTCTGTGGTATTAGATATGTACCCAGGGGCCTAGAAATCCAATCAACTCTCAATTTGGGACACCAGGGGGATGAAGGAGGATAAGGAACAAGACATTGAAAGGTAGGAGAGTAGAGTTTGGATTAACTAAAAAACCTGGTTTAAAGTATGTCTGGGACCTGAGACCTCTCCAGTGTAAATAATTTATGTAAGGGGAGGGAATAACATCCTCAAATACATACACACACAAAATAGGGAGTACTGGAGCTGAGTCACTTGGATTTTCTGAACTTTGCTTTAGGCAAAGTAACAATGGGAAGTTGTCTTCTCCATCCTTACTGTCCTCCCTTACCCTTATGCAAAGATTCTCCATGACTTCCTACTTCCTCTCCAGTCCACAAAATTATACCCTTCCTATTACAAAGTTCATACCTTTCCTGTTACAAAGTTCATTAAAATAAAACTCTAAAAAATAAGAAGCAAAGGAAGATGTCCCATGCAATATACTGTAGAAATATGAGGAAACCAATGGTGTCTGAACTACCCTACACCTTTAGAGTCAAGTCTAAAATCAGGCCCAAATCATGGTTTACAAATTAGGCCTAAGGAATTGCTGTAGATTCAAGGTGACAATCACATAGCCCAATTTAGCTCTA